AAATAAGTTCTCCCCAAAATACAACCCTGACCTGGAATTCAGGAAGGGACTAGAAGAGCGAGTGCTGCCCCCGTAAGAGGCTAATTGTGCGGGTTTCTCTCATTCTCCAGGTGGAGATGTCTCCGCACAATGCAACCCACGTTTAAAGCCAGCAATCACTGCTCACTTTTTGCTTTGCTTTTCCCAGGGAGAACCACCTGAAGCCTCTCACATGCAAGAATCACAATGAGAAGAGAAGGAAAAGGCTTCTTGGCTCACAGCTGAGAGATCCCCTCCTATCCCCCTCTACCCCCCAGCAAGCCTGCAGGATTCACAAGCTGGACAGCAGCAAAACAAGGGTTTTTTGGCCTAGATTGTAACAGCAAGAGTAGGGCTGGGCAGGTACCTTGCTCATTCCACTCCCCATGACAGCTCGACGCGGGTTCTCGCTCGGGTACCTACAGAGAAAAAGCAAAACAGGCCCGTGAGATCCACCGCCTGCCAAGCTGCACAGGTGAGTTTGCAGAGCCCCAGGAAACTCAGCTCACTTACCAGCAGCAGCAGCTCTGCCCAGGGCTCAGCCTCTTCGTGGGATGAGAGACCGGGGAGGACTGCAGCTGCGGCAGGGCAGAGGATGAAATACGGTTCTCAGGACGTGCCGTGGCTCAGGTTTCTCTTCCGGATTCCCTGTCTCTCTGGGGCTCCTGCCCACACAGCCAAGCTTTCTCAGCTAAGTCGCTCATCTCGCTGTCACTCCCCAGTGCCACCTGGCTTCCTTCATCCCTGGAGCTCGCAGGAAGGTGATCAAAAGCCCCAAGGCAACACAGTCAGACAGTAACAGGACACCTTCCCCAGTGCAGCCGGGTAGCATCTCTGCTGCAGCCTGGCTCCTTCCTCTGCCAAATATTTGAATCTTCCCTTCCCTCTTTCAGGATTTGCTCCAGGTATTTGCCTTCACTGATCTCCCCAGTAGCAGAAGCCTCCATCAGAGTCAAGTTTCCCATTGATTATTTTCCTTCCTGGTCCAAATTCCCTTCCATTCTGCTACAATCAGCAATATTATTCCTGACAGTGCTGGGCTGAAAGCAGGATTAGGACAAAATTCTCTGGTTGGCACTCATGGAAATGCAGAATCACTTCATTAAATCACGTGGCATTTTGATTCACACTTACAGGCATGAGATCGGATTTGGGCACACGTATTGTAATAGAGCATCTTCATTTGGACCCACACTGAAACGTCAAGTAATGGACCATGTATCTGCATAAGGGAAGGGTTCCAGCATTTGTCCCTCCCTCCCTGCAGAGTGGATGAAACAAGCTCTTCTCTGAAGCAGCACAAGATTGGATTTCCCCCCGACCCCGCTCCTGAAATCTAAGTTTATAAAATGGATACGGGTAATTGCCCGCAAAGGATGGTCAAGACAGCTAATTGCTTGCGCTGCTTTTCCTCTGTGAACACTGTTAAAGTCCTGAAGTTAAATATCCACCTTACAGCCTGGGATGGAGCACTCAAGTTAGGAAAAACTCTCATGAGGAGGGTAGTGGAACAGGTTACCCAGAGAGGTGATGGACTCTCCATCCTTGGAGGTTTTGCAGACCTGACTAGACAAAGCCTTGGCTGGGATGATGTAGTTGGGGCTGGTCCTGCTTGGAGCAGGGGGTTGGACTAGATGTGACCTCCTGAGGTCCCTTCCAATCCTATGGTTCTGTGCCTAAATCTGTTTGAGCGGACCAAATTCTCAGGAAGCAATCAAGCAGTGTGGGGGGAGAGGGAAGGACACCCAGCTCTAGCTTCCCAAATCTGACTGGGAGAAATGACCCTTCAACACTTTAAGCATAATGCATTCCCTGCATTTAGCGAACTGGCACTGCAACGCACAAAGGGCAGCCCCCTGGTAAACTCATCACCAACCTTCCTTTCCAAGGCAGCAGAAGAGTCATCTGTACCACTAATACAGTTGAACCAACTACATTGCAGCCACCTCTAACACACTGCCCCCAAAGCAGCATATTTTAGGTAAGGGAAGATTTTTCAAGAGCACAAACGTTTGACCCGCTCCCATGAGGTCAGTAGGCCTGCCTGTGGCAGGCTTCCTCCAACCACTATGCATGTTGAACAGGCCCTGTATTGAAGAAGCTTTGACCATGGCTCAGACAGATACTCTCTAGCCCCTTTCCATGCTCACATTTAATGCCCAAGTGTCTCCACAGCCCTCCTCCCCCTTGCATTCATGCTATCCACATGCAAACAGGGAAGGAAGGGAAGCATTATCTTCACTTCTGCATGCAGGGAAAGAGGCTGAAATTAAAACAATCATTTTTATAGAAGTGGTCTCTGAATGTAGATGCCCAACTTTAAACACTGAAGACAAGGCTTTCCTGAAGCACAGCAAAATTTATGCCAAAAGGCTGCTTTTGAGCCTTTTGGACTAAGCAATTTGCTCATAGAAATGCAGACCAGCATTCAGGAAGTGGAATGGGATGCTTCACATGGCACATGCCAGTGTCAGCAGTGAAGTACCTAATTGTATAGCACAATGTTAAAGAGACATGGATTATCTACCTTGGGTTTCCTATAGCACCAAGTCCCCTTACTGTGAAAGCATTTCCAGCTGCACAAAGGAGGTACTTTGTCTTTACATCTCTTAAATGTGAGGCCCCAAATGAAGCTCTTCTGTCTCTTAGTAGTATGGGAATTGGATCTAGAGAAAAGTGCAGAACTTTTTCCTAATACAAGGCAGTGCTATGTATGTATTTCCACAGGAGCAGCACTGCTGCCATTCCTCAGAGCAATGGGGCTCAGTGCTGGGAAGTGTTCCCCTCCCCTATAGGAGCATGAAAGCAATGAAGGTGAACTGAGTTAAAGTGAATTGTCAACCCTGCCCTTTAAATCTGTCACCTAATCCAAACCAGATTGGTTCTTGCAACTATGTTGAGAAGAATGAGATTCTTCCAAAGAGGAAGACACAGGGGTCATGGAAACTGATCTGCTTCTCTGCGCACTCCAGGCAGCAGCACTAATTTCTGATTGGATCTGAAGGGAAAAAAAAAAAAAAAAACCTTTCCAGACACTTCAGCATCCCTCTGCTATGACCTTGGCACAGGAACTGCTAATGAAAGCTGGAAGTCCTGCTGCCAGACAGAAGTACGTGAGCAGAGCACTGCACTACTGCAAGAACACACAAAAAACCCCCAACTCTCAGCACAAATGAATGCGAGCTCACATGCTGAAGCTTTTTAAACTGCATCTTTAATCTTGCTCTCCAAGAAATAAGACCCCCTCTACGAACTGGAAAGATGAGCACTTTGTTCCCTTTTGCCAACTCTAATGCTGATCCACACATCAAGTCATGACAACATGGTAGTGTTTAGAAAGGACTTTGTCCCTTAGCAAATTACAGCCAACAATGAAAGCTCTTAAGATCAATATGAAAAAAAAAAAACTTTCAAGTAAACCAGATGTTTATTAGCAGGTATATTGAAATGGAGGGTTTGTTCCAGTACAGAAGCAATGAGGTCATAGATACGTAATGGAATCATTGCAAATTCAAGCAGAACAAGTCCAGTGGTTCCAGGAGTCATTTTATTTCTTCCATTCGTTCTTCTCATAATCCCACTTGGAAGAAAGGCCTTCAACGGGATTAACTCTCATATCCAGCATTCTCTTGGTCTGCTTGGCCACCCAGTCTTCAGAAAGGGTGTGAGGGACAGGCGCAAAAACTGCAATTCAAAAATCAGTTGGGGTTTTGAGATACAAGGGAGTTAGGCACAAAAGTTACTAGGGAATGGAATATGCTATTCCCCATTCTCAGAGCAACTGCCCTATTGCTAATACATATTCAAATACCCGCCCAGCATAGGTCACCTGAGAACTATTCCGAAATGCTTTCACCTTGTTTCCTGCAGATTCTGAGCCTCCTGTTACAGCTATTTTACCAAAAATATCAGGGACAAAAGCCAGCCTTCTCCTGCTAGCCTACACTGTTACCAGGTGATCATATGATGGCTAGGAGTCCTAATGACTCACTTCTGCACAAAGCTAGTTTGACTGCAGTGTGCACATGATGGGCAGAGGAGCCGCTTTCTTATCTACCCTGGAGATTTTGAACACGAGAGGAACCAGAGAGCGGCCTGACACAGCAAGCAGGCTTAGGGAGAATCTGCTGTTCTTCATTTCTTTCCAGTTAGAACCAAATGTGCAGGAAGGGATGAAGTCAGACTGTACAGAATTGCCTGAATTTTGCAGCAGAGAAGTAGAGCAGTGGGATGGCTGCAAGATAGTTTCCTCAACTACATCTTTCTGCAGTCGTAGTCCCCCACTGCTTAAGTCATTCATCTGCAACTGTAAAGCTCAAAAAGGCTCAGGATTTTGTGAATCATCACTTGACGACAAACAGTAGTAGTTATCAGTACAGCAGTGTAATGCAAGACTAGAGTTTTGGCAGTTTCCAAGTTTTCTTATTTTATTTTTTGTCTGAAGAGCACAGAAGCTTTGGGATGGGAAGGATTTAAAAAGTAGTAAGGTGATTCTTCCAAGCCATTTACTTACCGTACATTTTCTCCCATATGAGGAACAAGCCGCAGAAGCCAAGGAAGGCGGCAGTGGCACCAAGAACAGTCTTCCACTCCTTTGTTCCCTTGTTCATTTCAGCATAAGTCTGATTGAATTTGATATGATACACTGAAAAGAAAGTTTCAAGATGTTCTCTTTATACTCCAGGGTGCAAACACTGTAGACATTCAAAAGAGTCTCCCCTTTGCAGGGATGAGAGATTTGTAAGGCCAGTTCTAAAGCACAAGGATGTTATAACAACTTTGCAATTAAGCTGCATCTTTCATGCAGAAAGACTAAGGTATTTCACAAAGGTTAGTACATGCTGTTGAACTGCACTGCCCACTCTGTAGATGGAGAAACCAATGCACTAGCAAGAAAGATCTTTTGCTGGAAGTCTTGCAAAAAGTCTGACGGATTCACCCACCAGATTTGTTTGAACAGGAATGGTTTTACAGCTAAGCGAGTCAGGGTATTTGGGTCTTATCCCTGCTTTTAAGTTTCTTAAGGCTTTTAAGAAAGCTATTTCTGTTCTGTTCTGAGTCAAGCCTCATAGCTTTTTTTTTAAAGTTACTGGGGGTGGCGGGGGCAGATCAAATGTTTCTTGCATTTAAGAGATTTCATAGACATCAGGGCCGGAAGGGACCTCGGAAGATCATCGAGTCCAGCCCCCCGCCCAAAGGGCAGGAAGTCAGCTGGGGTCATAGGATCCCAGCAAGATAAGCATCCAGTTTCATCTTGAAGGTGTTCAATGAAGGCGCTTGAACCACCTCCGGTGGCAGGCTGTTCCAGACCTTGGGGGCTCGGACAGTAAAGAAGTTCTTCCTTATGTCCAGCCTGAAACGATCTTGAAGTAGTTTGTGACCATTCGACCTCGTCATCCCTTGGGGCGCTCTGGTGAACAAACGTTCCCCCAGATGCTGGTGGTCACCCCTGATAAACTTGTAGGTGGCCATCAGATCACCCCTGAGCCTGCGCTTTTCCAGGCTAAAGAGCCCCAGGGCTCTCAGCCTGTCATCGTAGGGTCTGCTTCCCTGACCTCTGATCATGCGCGTGGCTCTTCTCTGGACTCTCTCAAGCTTCTCCACATCCTTTTTGAATTGTGGAGCCCAAAACTGGACACAGTACTCCAGCTGCGGCCTCACTAAGGCCGAGTACAGGGGGAGAATGACGTCCCGGGATTTTCATCATTTTTTTTTGTTTTTGCAGATTTTTCTTCTGTATTGACTTCAGCAGTTTCAGCTTCTGCCTTTCATTTCAGAACAGTACCTTTTAGCAATAAATACCAATCCATTTTCATCCTGTAATAGCATGAAAAATATTGAACTCACCAGCAGAATAAGCTGTACTGCACAAATGTTTCTTGCTAAGTGGGTACTTTACAGTCCGCTTCTGACTCCAGTGTCCACATCATTAATGAAGATGTTGAACAGTATGGGTCCAAGGACAGAGCCTTGGGGGACCCCACTGGTCACAGGACACCACGATGAGTGACTTCCATCGATTACTACCCTCTGGGTCCGACCCCGGAGCCAATTTTCCAGCCAGTGGATCGTGGAGGACCCAAGGCGACAATTGGCCAGTTTCTCCAAGAGGCGATCATGGGACACCAGATCGAAGGCTTTTTTGAAGTCAAGATATATGACATCAATCTCTTCTCCCTTGTCCAGGTGATAGGTCACCTGGTCGTAGAAGGAAATGAGATTGGTCAAGCAAGACCTACCCGCAACAAACCCGTGCTGGCTATCCCTTAAGATGTTGGCGTCGGCCAGTCCATTAAGGATGGCCTCTTTAATAAACTTTTCTAAGATCTTCCCCGGGATAGAAGTCAGGCTGATGGGCCTATAGTTAGCCGGATCCACTTTCCTCCCTTTCTTGAAGATAGGCACCACACTGGCCTTCTTCCAGTCTTCGGGCACTACACCAGAGCGCCAAGAGTTTCTACTTGAAACTACACCAGATGCTTCAAAGAGACAGAACATCATGGCTTGCAGGCCAACTACATGCATCTAGAGTCATTTTAATAAAGACACTAGCATTCTCTGTGCCAATCCTGTACTGAAAAGCTCTCACTTAATACCTGCACCAACAGACTTTCATCTCTCCCATCACTTTAACCAAACTTAGGGCAATGTTTAGGCTAGTTTCGTACTTTATTATAGTTCTGTGCAATTAATATGATCAGCCATTGTTCAAAGTAGCAAGGTACAAGACCTTCTTGAACTTCTGGCAGTTGGCTCACCACAGAACATAGCACCATGCAATGTCGGAAAAGCTGGGTTAGATAAGGAGGAGTCAGGAGGTGCAAAGTGTTAAGCCAAGTTTGAAACCTAGGTTCACTTTCCAGTTTCCCCCTCCTTCAGCCAGCAACTTCATCTACAGGATGTAAGGGGCTTTGTCTGAACCATCCAACTGAAGGACTTAGACACAGATGGTGTCTGCAAAATAGGGGTGAAGTAGAAAGAGGGAAAGACAGGAGATCTAAAGATCTACCACACAAGATATTTCCAAGGAAGGCAGAGTAAACCAGCCATGCCTGCTGCTCATGAGCACAGGATATGGCCTACACACCAGTCCAGCTTAAGAGAAAGACCTCTGAAAACAGGGCTCTTAAGAAAAGCTATTGGCTGAAACAGCCAGGCACTCCGAAGCAAAGACAAGGATCATGCAAAGCAACTTTGAAACAGCCTCAAGCTGCTAAGTCAGCACTTCTAACTGCTCTAAAACCTCAAAGATGTCCAGGTGTTCAGTGCTGCAGCCAACTGCTGATGCTGCCCTCTTTCCTATCAGCTTCAGTCAATTAACCCCCACCCCCCACAAGTATCTCTGCACTGCCTCAAGACTTTCAACCCACAAAAATCCATTTACAGGATTAGCCTTAGACCCTTACTGCATGCTTTGTCCTTTCCCAGGAGCATTTCCATCAACAGTGAATGCGTAAGAGATCAGACTGGCAGCAGGAGGGGTGATTGGCTTTCTTAAATGAAATACCTACGTGCAACTTTCTCATCATTGATTGGCTTTCAAAAATGAAATACCTACGTGCAACTTTCTCATCAATGGTCAAGGCATTCCACGATGCCTTTTCCTTTTCCTTCAGGGTCTTCTGCTCAACAGAGAGAGTCTTCACATATTGCGCATCAGGCAGGGGAATGTTACGACGATCCACGTAAGACGGGAGGCTGGCGTCCTCCATGCCCACAACAGCTGCAATAAAGGGTGGGAGGAAAGAAAGGAAAACTCAGAATTTTTATTTGACATACTAGAGCCAAAAAAACTGAAGTTCTATCAGCAACAATATTAAGATTCCCCACAAACAAAGCGGATGTCAAGAAGTCTTAAGGGAAGTGTGCTTCTAGATAAGTTATCTTCAACAGCAACGAGGAGGAAATAACAGTAACCAAGAAGATTACATTTGCTCTATATCCAGGTTACTTTATGTGCATCAATCATACAGCAAAGAGGAGGAGGATTTTAAAACATTTTAAAATACAAAGTTTGGCGGGGGGGATGGGGTGTCCTAGCTTCAATTATCACACCTCCCACTAAGTACTATTCTCCCTGACATTTCAAATAGTGGATCTTCCTTTAAGTATTTATGTTTTCCTTTACAATTTCTTCCAATCCCCTCTCTCTGGATCTTGCGATTCCAGGATCCCTGAAGTGCTGATGCTGTTCTCTGACACCACCTACTGGTGATGGCACAGATTAATAACATGCTTTCAATCACCCAGGCACTTGTGTTTCACCATTCCTCGGTTCTGCTTCTATTGTCTTGCTTCCACCCCCTCCAGGTAGTTTTTGCTAGATATCCATCTAATATTCCTCCATCTTCAAACACAGAAAGTCACAAATGTTCAACCTATGTTAGGATGTTATTTCTTCAGCTAGCCACACACCCAAAAAAAGGCCTGATCCCTGACAGAGTGTATTGCTAGAATAACTGCACTGAATGCAGCACGTTTGGCCCTATAGAAGTTGCTATTAAAAGGAGATAAAGGTGCAAGCTCAGAGTAATTATAATTTCAGTGTGCACTTAAGACTTAAGGAAGCTTTATGTTGCTTTGCTCATGAGAAATGTGAAAAGGGGCAGACCACAATTTTACTGAACAATGTAGCAGTCATTTAAAAAAAAAAAAAAAAAAAAAAAAGAATATTCTTTCTAAGCAAAGTCTTGTTACAACATGTCAGCCAGCTTTCTACTCCTCCTTACTTCTACCAATGATTAACCTGGATTTGATAGGAGCTTGCATTTTTCAAAATTTAAAGCTCAGGATAAGGGGACATAGAAATAACTGAAGGTTTTCTCTTTTCCCCCCCATCTCTGTGCAACAGGAAAAGCACACAGCATACCTTGTCCGTGTCCTCTCATGCAGATGGATGTAGAAATGGCTCGCTTGCTAACTAAACTAAATGCCCTAGAAGCCAACATCCTATGGGAGAGGAAAAAAAGCAGATGGTTACCAGCCAAAGATGGCAGATTCATACATATAAATGGAGGAAATCTACACCCTATGCATTAGAACAGCATTCCCAACCTTTTTGGACTCAAGGCCCCCCCCCCTCGCTCCTCATCTGCAGCCCCGCAGCCCCTCACTCCCAAACAGCTGCCCCCCTCCCACCCCCAGCCTCCAGCCGCTCAGTGTGTGGGCCAGGAGGTGGGTATGCATATGCCCCCCCCCAAATTTCTACACCCACAAAAAGTGTCGAGAAAGCGTAAGGAAAACACCACAACAAATCAATTCTTTTTCAAAAACCTTGGACTCCTTATTCAGGCTTTTCCACTGACCCCTGTGCAGCGCCTAGTCCGAGCCGCTGTCAAGGGCAGTGGGTCGCCAGCTTTTCAGTGGATTAACCCTGAGCTCAGTCAAAAGTTCTCACAAGCACCTTATATTTATAGCAAATGTAGAAAGGAGGTAGCGGCGTCTGAAAAGGTAACATCAGGCCTACAAACACTGTGTGCGCTTCAAGGCCTGGCAGGGAATACCTGACCTTGCAAGGGGACTGCACCGGGGACCAGAAAGCAAGCGTCTCTTGGTGACGCCACAACAGCACCTCCGCTCCCTCCTGACCTGCCAGACACAGGCTGCTGGAAGGACCGAGGAGGCCTCAATTCTCTGCCTGAACCCACTATATCCTTGCAGGGATTTTACAGATAGAGCTGGTCACCGCGCCCCTTTCATCCTGCTGGATGCAAAATCACCCCGACGAAGGGGCTCTGCTCCATACCAGCCACCCTGCCCTGCCCTGCCCTGCCCTGCCCGGCCCTTCGAACTCAGCGCCCCGGCTGCGGGGAAGCAGGAAGCCGCAGGGGCAGGGGAAGGTGCAGCGGGCAGGCACTGAGCCCACGGCACATGGGGCCCCGTCCCCCCTGGAGGCACCCCCCCACCGTCACCATGCAATGCGTTCCCTTAGCAATAGCCCCCTACCCATAGGAATAGCAATAGCTGCCTTAGCAATAGCTGCCCCCCACGTCACCAGGCAACACGGTCCCTTAGCAACAACCCCTTAGGAACAGCCGCCTACCCTCCTCCCATCACCATGCAACCCATTTGCTTAGCAACGGCCCCTAGAAACAGCACCTCCCCATGTCATCATGCAATGCATCCCCTTGGCAACAGCCCCCTCCCATCACCACAGAACCTGTTCCCTTAGCAACATGCCCTTAGCAACAGCCCCCTCCCCATGCAACGTGGTGCCTTAGCAACAGCCCCCTCCCCACCGTTACCATACAATGTGTTCCCTTGGCAACAACGCCTTAGGAAAGAACAGCCCCCTCCCATCACCGTGCAACGTGTTCCTTCGGCAACCGCCCCTCCCAACGTGCCCTTAACAACAGCCCCTCCTCCCCCGACACCATGTAACGCATTCCCTTTAGCAACAGCCCCGGCCCCGACCCCGCCCCCCTGCCGCTGCCAACGACCTGGCCCGTCCTCTAGGCCTGCTATCGAAGACGGAAGAGACACAGGCGCGGCGGAAACGCAAAGCACGCCGGGATGCGGGCAGGGCCGCACGCGGAGGCGGCAGCAGAACGGACTCTTTTTGTCCCTCCGCGCGTC